TATTGTAAAGATGTTATTCGTACCCCAGTGAGAATAGATGGTTCCAAATACACAGTAAGTTATTGTAAAGATGTTATTCTTACCCCAGTGAGAATAGATGGTTCCAAATATACAGTAAGTTATTGTAAAGATGTATTCTAAACTGTTCACAAATAATGCATCATCAAGCTTGGCTAAATGTTGAGAAAACATGGAATCCTTAATGCTTGTAAGAACCAAGCAAGAGCAGAATCTGGGAGACAGGCATCATTAAAATGATAGTATTTATAGAAAAGTAGAAAAAATGTAGACATCTTAAAAGCAGTATCTAAGAGTATTAGAAATGAATAAAAAAATGTAGATAATTGGTTTTTATTAATTATTTAAAGACTATGTTGTGTAACAAAGGTTTACTTTTGTTTGATCTTCTGAAGATAAAAATATTCTCAGAAACAACATGTAGTTCCTTTCTTTTCACAAAAACGTAAGCCACTTAAAAATTGTACACATTTTTTACCATTCAACTATAAAGAGATGGAACATAATTATCTTTGACCTGGAACTTTTACAATAAGAAAAGTTGAAAGAACTTAACACGTATTAAATGCTCTTTAATAAGAATTTTTTTAAGATAAATTTTGTTTTTTATGGTATTAAGCAGTAACAAAAAAATTAACTTCCAGCTTGCCAAATTATATTACAACTTTTTTATTATTTAGGAAAGTAATATATTTAAAAGAGAGTTAAAAACAGTCATTGGTTGCTTATGGTGTTAATCATAGCAAATTAATGTTAATTATTCGAAGATGTTGTATGTTACAAGATATTGTATTTGCATAAAATCTGTGGAATTTGAAGAGGTCATCTTAAATATAGGTATTTATAAAGATAGGTTTTAGCCTAAAGAGATAAAAAAAATTTATATTTTTCTTGGAAATACTTAAATAGGGCCTAGAAATGCTTGAATGAATCTATTTCTCCTTTCCTTGGATATAATACAGTTTTAGTGAGTTATGTAATAAGGCAATCAGAAGGATGATGTGTTAAGAGTAAAAAATTAATATAATTCCTTACTTGAATACTAACTTTGTTGATTCTTTTTTTCAAATATATCAGAACAACATTATATTTAGATTGTCATCATCTTTTTCACTCATTGCACCCTTAATGTCAGTCATGGGTTAGTACACCACCAGAGGAAATTCATTAGTATGGAGTTTAGATTGGCAACAGCACTTTAAAAATTGTTATTGAATTTACAATGATACTTTATAGATTATTAGTGACTTGTAATAACAGTTTAAGAATTGTTAGTGATGTGTAACAGCACTTTAAAACTTGTTATTGGATTTACAATGATACTTTATAGATTATTAGTGACTTGTAATAACAGTTTAAGAATTGTTAGTGATGTGTAACAGCAATTTAAAACTTGTTATTGGATTTACAATGATACTTTATAGATTATTAGTGACTTGTAATAACAGTTTAAGAATTGTTAGTGATGTGTAACAGCAATTTAAAACTTGTTATTGGATTTACAATGATACTTTATAGATTATTAGTGACTTGTAATAACAGTTTAAGAATTGTTAGTGATGTGTAACAGCACTTTAAAACTTGTTATTGGATTTACAATGATTCTTTATAGATTATTAGTGACTTGCAATAACAGTTTAAGAATTGTTAGTGATGTATTGTTTATCCATAGTGTATTCCTGCAAGTTTTTTTTTGTTGAAAATGTAATGCTTTCATGATTTTTAGTGCATAAGAAGCTAAAAAGAAATGTAAAATAAGATGATGGTAGAAACATATTTTCATTTAAATGTGAGTAAATATTTTATCTTTTAACATTTCATTGCCCAGGATAATTTTTCTGTGTAAACTTAAGAAGATTTTTTATATATAAGTATCATTTTGAAATAGCACCCGTTAATATAGTATTATATAACGTGTTTTAAGCTGCAGTTTATATATGAAGTTAGGGATGAAAAATCAGTGTTCACTGTGAATAAATTTTGTCTTGCCAACTGTAAAATCCAAAAGTGTTGTAAGAATATGAAATGTTTTGCATGACATTTATTTAAGTGATTGTTACATTGACCCTCAAAAAATCATTGTAATTGAGGTCGCTAGATTTGTCTGGTATGCTTCATCTATGTTTAGTGTAATCATCAAGATGATAATCCACGCTTGGTTTTGATATGCTTTTAGGTTTTAGTTACAGAATACAATGATTTAGGAAATAGTCGCTTCCTTGACCCTCGGAGTCAACAGTCATTTAAGTATGATCATTTAAAAAAAGAACCTACAGAGTTCCAACCTCATGAAACTGATCAAACTGCAGAATCCTGGCGGTCAGCACTAGAGGATGCATGGACTCAGTACACAGAAGACCACTACAGGCATGGAAATTGTTCTGTCTTTGGTCACGGACAGGGTGGCAACATCAGTCTTACTGCTTGTATTGAAGATCATAATTTTCAACCTAAAAACTACTGGTAAAGTCTTATTCTGTTTGCTTTTTTTCATGCTTTGTGCTCTGTTTGTAATAACTGACTTTTTTGTTTTTTGACATAAAAACTTTTCTACCATTATAATAATATGACATTTTTACTTGAAATCTAAGTGAAATCAATAAGGGCAATGTGTAATGGTTGCGTAAAAGAATTGCATACCACTGGATCATCAGCATGCTCGAGGGCTTCTGATCTAAAATTACGGTTTGATCCCTGTGGCAAACAATACCCGTTGTACCTTTTTTTGGCTTGGCTTATCCAAGTGCTCTAAATCAACCATTTTGTGTCCCCCTTAAAAACTCAAGTAAATAGTCCATTTTAAAAAATTTGTGCATGTGTATACTGCAAGAGGGGAAGCTTATATTTGCCATAGCCAGCAACTTCATCTTGTAAACTCCACCTTTTCTTGAATTATTGGATAGCACTATAGTAGATTAACGTTCAACTTAATAGACAATGATAGTATTTGCAGATCATTCAGTTAAAATATAAAAAGGATAGGTTTCTGTACTTTTAAATGGCAACTAGATGATTTTACAATTGGTTAATTCAAACTGTTGTTAAGCTTTAAGTGTGTGTTTTCTATTCCACATGGCTAATATTAACTGTATAAACATAAATTACTTTTGAATATAGTATGAAAACATATTTTGACCCTAGAGTTACTGATAGGAGTCTGTATGGTTCCCATTGGCTTTTTGATGAGATATTTGTTCACTGTATTGTTTGTGGGTCTACGAGATTTCTGGTAACAGGGCCCCTAGCAACATATAACCGTATTGTTTGTGGGTCTACGATATTTCAGGTTACAAGGCCCCTAGCAACATATAACCGTATTGTTTGTGGGTCTACGAGATTTCAGGTTACAAGGCCCCTAGCAACATATAATCGTATTGTTAGTGGGTCTACAAGATTTCGGGTTACAAGGCCCCTAGCAACATATAACCGTATTGTTTGTGGGTCTACGAGATTTCAGGTTACAAGGCCCCTAGCAACATATAATCGTATTGTTAGTGGGTCTACAAGATTTCTGGTAACAGGGCCTCTAGCAACATATAATCGTATTGTTTGTGGGTCTACGAGATTTCAGGTTACAAGGCCCCTAGCAACATATAATCGTATTGTTAGTGGGTCTACGAGATTTCAGGTTACAAGGCCCCTAGCAACATATAACCGTATTGTTTGTGGGTCTACGAGATTTCAGGTTACAAGGCCCTAGACACATATAAGCCCACGATAAAAAACACTATAAAACTACCAACAGTACTACAATTCATTCCACTAATTACTGGTGAGTTTTCCTATGTACTTTACATAGAAAATAAATGATTTAACCTGACTTGTTTAGTCAGTACTTTACACTAAACGTTGTAACAGGCAGAAAACATATAATTACTCAATATGATACAATAAACAAACTCTTCTGATAGTGAATGGTATAAAAGCAAGTCACTAATTTGAGGGTTAATGCTACATAGCCTTATGATATTGCTTTATAGTCTTTCAATAGTTTAAATATTAATCCACGTATCCCATATCCTAGTTATGAGAACCTTTTTGTGAAGTATGAAAGTGATGATACAAAGTTACTAGGAACTCTTATACTTCACAAGTATCAAGCATTCACAGTTTTATAATGAGTAATTTGGTTTCATCTAATAGTTTCAATAACATTAAAAAATGTAGACCTCAGAATGGTGGTATAAATCTACCTAAGAAATTTGTTTGGTTTACCAAATTGTAATCTTATCTATATAAAGATTGTACATTCATTTCACTATTACCAACCAATAAAACTGTTTGGTAAGAGTGCATCCTCGTAATTATGTAGAAATTACACGGGCCTGTGAATGTAAACTTCATAAAAAATTGTTCTTGTTTTAATAACGAATTTTATATAAATCAGCTACGCAGATTGCGAAAATAATATTCATTTTTTTCTATTATGTAAAGATTTTTTACAAATCGAGAAGAAAAACTCTCACTTAGATCAAATTATTATTTCATTTACCACAATGAATATTTTTAATTATTATGTTTGTTAACAAAAATACAAAGAAACTGAAGAAAAGGGAAGAACATTGATGTCAAACAAATTTGCATCCTCATTCATCCTGATTTTTTTGTGAAATCTACATCTTTTAGCCTCAAAACTATGTGTTGTGGTCTTTCTTTTATGTATTGCTTTATGACATTTTGTGAAGAATGTATACGTGATGGAGAAAAATGGATATTATTTTCAGATTCAGTTTACAGGAATTACTGTAGAACATGTAAAAATTTTAAGACAATAAAACCATCAAAGGCCTGTATTATCCATTCACTTCACACTGCTACCAACCAATATAACTGTATGGTAAGAGTACATCCTTGTAATTATGTAGAAGTTGTCCATTCACTTCACACTGCTACCAACCAATATAACTGTATGGTAAGAGTACATCCTTGTAATTATGTAGAAGTTGTCCATTCACTTCACACTGCTACCAACGAATATAACTGTACGGTAAGAGTACATCCTTGTAATTATGTAGAAGTTGTCCATTCACTTGATTTCAACTCAAGTTTTTTTCTTTGCAAAGTATTTCACACAAACAACACTTAACTCACATGTAATTTCTTAATAAAAAAGAAACATTACAATAAATACAATTGCTATATGCTTTCTCAACTTATTTAGGTCTGAAATATGCATGCACAGTTGATTAAAACCGTGTATGCTTATCACTTTGTGAACACACTTTTCTGCATATTTAGCTAATTTTGCTTTCATTACAACTTAGCTTTGCAATAATTTTGATTTCGTTCATATCATAGTCTACTGTAAACATCTTTTACCAACATTTTTCTTTACTACGAGTTTTATTCTTCATTTTGGTGAGTTTCCTTGTTCCAACTCGTAATACTGTTTCACACACTGAACGTTTATAAATATTTGATACTCTGTACTACTTTATGTGTAGTTTAGTAAATAGAGTTACGTCTACATAAGTTTGTCTGACCACATAATTTTTTTTTCAAATAGACCAGGATTTATTGATCTAACACACAATGCCTGCAAGAAGGTGTAGCTTAAATGGCGTGCATGAAACTGATAGAATAAGGAAAATGCAGGTGAAGGGCATGAGAACTATCATAAATGTTTTGTGGATAGCTGCTAGTCTTAAAGAAACATGTCTGTATCTTAACCAGAGTTTGAAATTTAGGAGCTTAATATCAGTTAGCTTCCTTTAAATGTGTATTTATAGTGAAGTGTCAGTTAAGCCTTGGGAAAAAATCACAAAGTTTTTGAGCACATTTGATCAATGTTTTCGTAAAGTGATGTCAGTAAAAGTGTAGTTATTGTTATTTAAAGATATATACATATACCAATATTGTTTTCAGAACACTTGTATATTATTGATGCTTCCTGATAAGCAGGTAATATTAAGTGGATCTAAATTAATTAATTTTGGTTAAAATCTGTTGTCAGTTTTACTTTAAGATAGCATGTAGGTTGTTATTGAAATGTGTAGAAATATATGGACTGTTGTTTTTAATTCTTATTCAATATTTTAGAAATTTTTGCCGTATCATATGTTTCTGATGATAATTAGTTAATAAGGAACGAAACTATCGTATGAAAAACAAGGCAAATACACAGTAAAAATAGTTATTCTCAGATGTATTCATATTCTGAAAACATTTACAATGATATTTTATTATTTTCATATAGGAATGGGCGCTGGCGCTCAGTCTGGACAGTCACTTTTCCCCCTGTACCAGGAACTGTTGAATTACAAGGACTTGTTAAAGTACAGGTGAACATGAAATATTTTGTTACATAATGTTTTCACTGACATAGAAAAAGGCACGTGGCTTATAACAAAGCTAAGCTCTTCATAATGTAAATAATGGAAAAATAATTGAAGTGTACATAAAACAAAATTCTTATTATCAGAACCTTAATAAAGCAGGGAAATTTCTGTTCTTGTTAACCTTTTCCTTAGTATTAAAGGCATATCAAGATGTGACATGTAACTACAGAATTTTTCAGTGTTTCATAACATAACATAAAATGTGCAGAACTTTATTTTCCAACACATACTTCCACTGAACAAACACGTCCCTTCATACTAGACCGGGCCAGAAAACTCATAAAATCTTCTTTGCTATTATAATATAAATATATTATTGAATCATAGCTTGGAGCAGAGGTAAAGTGAAAACTGGAAAACAAGTGTAGAATTCTTAATATCTTTTATTGATTTACAAAAAATTCATTTACAATAAAAATTGTTGAAAATGTGGAAAGAATATACAAAGTTATGGACAAAAAACAATTTTTTGCATATAGATTTTATAAAAATATACAAAGTTTTAGGGTGAGAGTGAATTTATTTTCTATTTTTTAGGTTCATTACTATGAAGATGGAAATGTACAGTTAGTTACTTCTAAAGAAATAAAAGAATCATTATCTATTTCAGTAAGTATTTGCTTGTGTTAATTGTACATTCTACTTTGCTTTAACTTGTATGTTCTTAGAATTATGCACTAGTGAACTGTTTCTGCTACTGGCCAATATACTGAATTCACGTTTTGTTTTACTTATTAACTCTTTCTCAATCATGTTTATAGATATATACACCTGGAAAAAAGTTAAGCACCCCCGTGTTTTTTTCAAGTGATTCAGAATCGACGTTCTTGTGACTGATTATAAATTACCATTCAATCTAAACGT